TTTTTTTTTTTTTGTTTTTTTTTTTTTTTTTTTTTTTTAGCAAAAGTTAAAAGCAATCTCCATGCCTAGCTTTTCATTGGACCTTTTTAGGTATAATGAGAAGTGCCAAGGTGACCAAAAGATACCCTCAAGGATGACAGTCTCATTAGAAAGAGCAGTTTTAATGTAGCAATAGCAATACCTTAGTGCTGTAACAAATGGGTATTTTTTCTGTGACATGCATTTCAATATTGCTTGATCAACAGTTGATTATTATGTAAAAATGAGTGATTACAGCATGGAAACTCAGTGGTGTTACTGAGAAGGCTTCCTAGGTGAGTGCAGTTGATCTCTATCTGGGTAGTAGAAGGAAGTGTATTAGAATCAAGAGAGCTGTGAGCCATGCTGGTGGTAGCTCCAGCCCTATGAGTAGATCAGGCTCATTTGAGCAGAAGATGAAAGAATTTGGAAAAATGCATTGGAATCACATAGTAAAACAGTCTTATATATCAGGCTGAAGAGCCAAGACTTTTTTTTTTTAAGATGGCAGAGCTATTATTGAGCTGGGAAGGAAATAGAAAATTTGATCCTACAGTGGAAGGTCTACCATATGAATTGGAATGGGTATATTTTTGGTCACCACTCCTAAGAACAAGCGACAGACCTTTTTATTATGTTTTCTCTCCTGTCTGCCCCTCTTTTTTGCAGGGGATGTGGTACTGTCTGGCTGTAGCACACTGAGCCTGCTGACTGTCACGCTGCAGCAGTTGAATCGAGTGTTTGAGCTGTACCTGGGGCCATGGGGTCCTAGCCAGACAGGCTTTGTGGCTCTGCCCTCCCACCCTGCCGACTCCCCCATCATCCTTCAACTTCAGTTCCTCTTTGATGTGCTGCAGAAAACGCTTTCACTCAAGGTTCTGACATGGGGATAGAACAGGCAGGATGTGCCCAGAGGTTCGGGAGTGATGGAGTCTACTTGGGGGGGGGGTAGGGGTGCCAGGAGCATGCAGGGCTGAGATCCAGATTATGTTAGAGATATGGGTGGTTGTGTCGAGGAAGGGATGCTAAGGAAAGGGAGAGTGCCATGCCTCGTTAACCTGACTCTTTTTCTCTTAGCTGGTCCATATCCCTGGGCCTGGCCTCCCAGGGCCCATCAAGATTTTTCCCTTCAAGTCTCTTCGGCAGTTGGAGGTATGGGGGACTTGGAGGATGTTGGTGCATAAAACACAGTGTAGGCAATCACTTGAGGATGGGGACAGAAAAGTTTCCTCTTTTGGTGAGGAGGCCAGGCCTGAGTATACCATTGTTCTGCAGTAATGTGGTATCCAAGATCTTCTATTTAATGTTTCCTTGAAAGCTTCTGTAGCTGGGCTTTGTCATCTTCTCCCTCTTCCTCTTCATGGGAGATAGGGATGAAGTCTTTTACTTCTGTGAGGCTCTGTCTTCCTCCCTTCCTTCCCCTGCTCTAGCTCCGAGGTGTCCCCCTCCACTGCTTGCGTGGCCTCCAGGGCATCTACTCTCAGCTGGAGACCCTGATTTGCAGCAAGAGTCTCCAGGCATTAGAGGTAAGGAGGCCAAGGTGGCAGGGGAGGGGACATGCTTTGTCCTCAGAGACACAGAAGATGAAGTTCTAACATTCTCATTTGCACATGCTCCTGTGACCCCAGAAGTACTCTCTGCCTGTCCATATATTTACAGTCACACCTGCCATACTGTATCAGATATTCTAGTGTCTGCCTCCTCACTCTCCTCACAGTGCATTCCTTGGGGAAAAGGACCTGGGCTTTCTTTATGCCTGCATCTCCGGATGTATAAAGTATGAATGAATGATAGATGATGGGGAGGAGGGTGAGAATGGGATAATGAAATGTCTGTGCCCTGCCTAGGAACTCCTTTCAGCCTGTGGCGGTGACCTCTGCTCTGCCCTTCCCTGGCTGGCTTTGCTTTCTGCCGACTTCAGCTACAATGCCCTGACTGCCTTAGACGGCTCCCTGGTGAGTGGTTTAGAGAGAAGGGAAGGGGCTTTAGGGAGGAGAGTGCCATGTATAAAGTCCTTTCTGTGCCTCCTCTTCCTGTCCTCCTCAGCATCTCTTGTCAGCTCTGCGCTTCCTAAACCTGAGCCACAATCGAGTGCAGGACTGCAAAGGCTTCCTGATGGTGAGTGTGAGCAGTGGCGCCAGGGCACCCAGACCTTGGATTTCTCTGCTCTCACGCTCTCCCCTGGATCCGCCTGTGTTGTACTTGGCACTGTTCTTCTGGGTGGAGCCATGTCCTGGCAGGTGGTGTTTGGGGGTTGGGGCACTAGCAAGATGAGGTAGAGTTCCAATCTCAGCTTTTAATGCCTGTGCGACTTGGGACAAGTTAGATTGTTTTCTTCACCTGTAAAGTAAAAATCATAGGAGAGTACCTGGTTTTGTATGTTTAAATGGTTGTGAAGAATACTCGGTACTCAGCCTGGTTCCTTGCTTAAAAATTGTAGCTTTTGCAATGATGAGGATAACAAACCCTTTTCCCATGTCTTTTGGTTCCCTTTCAAATACAAACATAGCTGGGTACTAGTTAAAGTGGAAAAGACAGATTTTAATCAGTAATAAACTATTGTAGTAGGAAAGAGGATACAATGTGAACTGAACTCCACTTTGTGCAGAGGTGACTGGGCATTTTAAATGGAGAATGAAGGATTAGGAAGATAAGAGGGAGGTGCTTGTGCAGCCTCAGGCAAGTAGAAATGTATGAAAAGTAAGCCATTGGGGTTTGCTAACTAATGGGCCCTTGCCTAATTTAATCTGTTCTTTCCCACAGAGACTGGGAGGTGGGCCCTGTTTTCAGGTGTTGGCTGGAACAAACAGTAAATTTCTATGGGTAGCCTTGTTTTCCCAGGCAGGAACTTAAGGGAGTTGGAGTCACCATCCTAGGGGCCGCACCCCAGAGCTGTTGGAACTATGCCAGTGTTTGTTCAAGGGAACGGGTGGGTAAAGTCATTTGTGCTGAGAGTCTTCAGTTTTTATAGGCTGAGATGGATGCCTAGTGAAGAGGGCTCAGAGGACCCTGACTCGAGTTTGGTCAAAATGAGAATCTGTGTCCTCCCTACCCTCCTGCAGGATTTGTCTGAGCTGTGTCATCTGGACATCTCCTATAACTACCTGCACTTGGTGCCAAGAATGGGACCTTCAGGGGCTGCCCTGAGGACCTTGATACTTCGAGGCAATGAGCTCCAGAGCCTGCAAGGTGAGCAGGGTGTGTGGTGGAGCAAATGTATGGTAAGCAGGGAGTATGGGGCCCGCGTGAGATGTGGGATAGCCCAGGGACCATGATTCTCTGAGCCTCAGAAAGGGCTGAGGCTACCCTCCCACAACACACACTCCCCTACGCCCACTCACCTGGGCTTTCACCTGCATACGCTTTCCTCCCCTCTCACCTCTGCCCCAGGCTTGGAGCAGCTGAGGAACCTGCAGCATCTGGATGTGGCATACAATCTGCTGGAAGGACACAGGGAGCTGTGGCCACTGTGCCTACTGGCCGAGCTCCGCAAGGTGACATGTGGGAGCCACCTTTGTGTCTGGCCCTCCTGTGTCGAAGGTCAGTGCCTTCTTCACACAGAAGACCCAGGCCCATCTCATTCTCTTCCTGTCCCTCAGCTCTATCTGGAGGGGAACCCTTTGTGGTTTCATCCTGCACATCGCGTGGCCACCATCCAGTACTTGTCACCCCGGGTCCGGGATGCTGCTCACGGTGTGAGTGATTGTCTTGTATCCACTCCATTTCCCCTTCTCCTGCCCAGCCCTTCCCTGTTCCTATACAGTCTTGCCATCCCTGGGTGAGGGGTCAAGGACCTGACCACCTGCTGTGTAAGTATGGGTACTTGCTGGGGCTGGGTCCTCCTTGAGCACTGTCCCCTCCTTCTCTGTCTTTGTGCAGTTCCTTCTTGATGGTGAGGTCCTGTCACTGAAGGATTTTCAGGTCTGTGCAGCAGGGTAATAGGATAGCAAGGACTGATGGGAAAAGATGGGAAGGGAGAGCGCTGCCTGGGGAGGGGGTGGCTGGGAAAGGTCTTCCTGGTCGGTGGAAAGTAGGGTCCACTTCTTGGCTACCTTGGGCAGGGCAGAGGTGCTCCTCTGACCTCAGTCTCTTTCTTCTGCCTGTTGTCACATGCCAGACCTCCACATCCTCGGGGCTTGGCCCTTTGGCCCCGCCTCAGCCATGGACCTTGGGGAGTACCACTGAAACCTCAGGTGGCCCTGAGCTGAGTGACAGCCTCTCTTCAGGGGGTGTTGCGGCCCAGGCCCCTCTTCGTAAGGTTAAGGTAAGGGGTATCCCTTGCTGCCACATGCCTGGGGTTGAGTCCCTCTGCAGGGCCCTGGATTGGTAATAGTATGACCATATCCTTGTTAGTAGCTGGGGAGGTTTTTGTAGTTGGGTGGGTGACCATGGATGGAGGCCCTAGAGTTCGTAGAACCCTGTCCCTCTGCCCAACCCAGAGCCGAGTCCGTGTGAGGCAGGCGAGCATCTCTGAGCCCAGTGATACAGACCTGGAGCCCCGAACCCTGGATCCCTCCCCAGCTGGTAGGTCAGCCTTCCTCCACTGCCCTGCTGTGACCCCTTCAACTATCTTGAGGTTACTGTGAAGGTCTGTTAAGAGAAAATTGATTTTCTGGTGGCATAGAACATTGTAGAAGATTTGTTAGCCTGTCTGTTGTTCTTTTAGTTTAGGGAAAGGAGAGGGAACTGCTCCCAAGCTGCATTTTCCAAAGGTTTTCGAGGAACATTAACTTTGTAAGGTGTTAAAAGGTCATATAATAAAATTAATTTGTGGCCAGATAAGTCTGGAAAGTGCTAGGTCAAACAAAATAAAGTAGCTTTCTTCCCTGCAGGCCATCTCAGGGCCTCGAGGTGCTCTATTTTGTGAATTTCCAAAAGTATTGTATGTTGTGTGATCCTGGTTTATATGTGACCACAGCATTCCACACTTGGGGACAAGCTACTGATGTGAAGCCTGTAACACCCCGCAACCCTTGCTTCACATGTAGGAGTACCCACAGAAGGAGGCTGGGGTCATGTGGGGTATGGCAGGGGCTAGGGCCAGAACCTACCCAGTTCACCATCCTCCCTCTGCCTAGGATTGTTTGTGCAACAACACCGGGAACTCGAGCTCCTGAACAGCTTCCGGGAAAGGTTTGGCTGTGACTGGCTGCAGTATAGGAACCACCTGGAGGCCTCTGTGAGTCCCCTTCGGAGCACTTCTAAGACTCCTGCCCTTAGCACTTCTCCTCCAGATGCCCTGGGCACTGAGACTCCCAGCCCTCTGGTCTCAGAGAAGGAAGTCAGAGGGTCTGAGGGGTCAGAACTGAAAGTGGCAGAGACGGGCAGGAAGGAGACGGAACCCCAAGAGGAAGAGGAGAAGGAGGAACAGGAAAAAGAAGAAGGAGCAAAGGAGGGGCAGGAAGAGGAAGAGGAAGAAGGGCAGGAACGGAAGGAAGTGGAAGGTGAGCTTCCTTCAGCCTTTGGGGAAGCTGAGGCCAGGTGATGTTGGAACGTCTGGGAGATTCTTGCAAGGTCATGCTGGCTGGATTTCCACCCACTCAGGTAGGGCAGAGTCTGGATACTTTGGCTTCCTCTAAGCTCTTCTCTTGGTCTCTCTCCACAGCTGAGCTCTGTCGCCCCATGTTGGTGTGTCCCCTGCAGAGGCCTGGGGGGGTGCAGGGAACAGAATGCTTTCTCCGGGTCACTTCTGCCCACTTGGTTGAGGTGGAACTCCAAGCCGCTCGAACCCTTGGGCAGCTGGAGCTGCAGAGTCTGGTGACAGCTGAGCTAGAGCCTGAGAGCCCAACCCAAAGAGAACCAGTGCCAGAGGTGAGTGGTGGGGCTGGAGTGGGAGCTGCTTCTGGATGAGGTGCTGGTTATCCAGGAGCCAGTTTGACAGCTGAGGAGGGGCACTGGTCGGGGGCAGAGTGCAGTTACAGGTGGTTTGGGGAGGCTGGGCTGAGGAGCTCCTTACTAGTGCTTGGATGCCAGCAGTAACATTTGCATAGGCTCCAGTGTTACTGTTTCCCCCATGCTCATTGTAACCCTGACCTCTTTGTTCCTTGGCCCCTTGCTGTGAAGGGCTCGGATCACCTCCCAAGGGCCCCTGTCCTCGTGCTGCGCTTCGCCTACATTTGCCCTGACCGGCAGTTGCGTCGCTACGTTGTGCTGGAGCCTGATGCCCATGTGGCTGCCCAGGTGATGGGGCGGAGGCTGTGGGGGAGATGGGAAGAGCCAAGGAAGTGACTTCCAGTCATGCCAACGGTGTCTTCCGGGGTCCACCTGCTCACAGCTGCCTCCTGATCACCCTCTTTCAGGAGTTTCTTGATGTGCTGACCCCGTTTACCACAGTAGCACAGCAGCAGCTTGGGAAGGCCCACAGCCCACTGGGAGGCAGTTTCCAGTGTCTGCGCTGTGGCTTCGAGTTCAGGCCAGAGGAGCCGAGTCTGGGGTTGGACAGTGAGGAAGGCTGGAGGCCGTTGTTTCAAAAGACAGGTACCAGCCTTGCCCTTAGCCGCCTGACTGCAGGGAAAGCGGCTTTGAGTGGGGGCGTGGGGGAGCCCCAGGGAGCAAGGCCTGGAGGAGAGGGAGCCACGGGGCTGCTAGGAGGAAAAATAGAAATGTCTGCCTGCTACACTTATGAAAAAGAGAATCAAAGCTATGCCCTGGGCTTTTGTTTTTCTCTCAAAATCAAGAAATGTAGTTTCTGTACCTGGGCTCAAGCACCCTCATTATTTTTTCATAACTTGAAGGTTTTTTAGCGTTGTTTGGCTAATATTTCAGAGCTGACATAGAACCTAATGAGCTGCTGCAGTGGCGGGTTGTCATGCTGCCCTCTGAGCACAATGGCTTTGCGTAAGATGCGTTGGGAACCGGAGTAGTTTGTCTTTCTGTGACTGACCTTGTAATTTGCCCGATAGCAAAGTGAGCCTTGTAGCATCTCTCTATATTCTGTTCTTTAAAAACAACAGATTTCTCCATTATAGACCAATCAAAAAGCAAGGTCTTTGAGAAGATATCGAAGAGGAAAAGAACGTTCTTGATAACAGCTGGGTTACAATGCATGATTTTTACCACATATCTGTTCCTGGTAGCAGTTGCAGCAGGGCCTGAGGTTTTGTTTAGAAAATAGAATGCTGTTCTGCTCCCTACCCCTTTGCCTGACCAGGAGGCTGCAGCCCAGCAGGGCCCATGGCTCATCTGCCAGGTTTAGGTGAGCAGCAGCCTCTACCTGGCCAGGGCCCTGGGCTGTATTCTACTCCACAGGTCCCACGGCTCCTGCAGTCCCCTCTGTGGTGGCATTTCTAATGCACACTACTGTGGGCTTCATTCTCCTTTGATTTGAGCCTCAGTTACCTCATCTAACTGAAGAACATGAGCCCAGCCCCTGGTGCACTTTATGAGATTTAGGTGAGACAGTAAAGCATCAAGCACAGCGCCTGTGTAAACCAAAGGTCCCTCATGTGGAAGCTGCTGTTATCTTCATCTATAAGGTCTTGGGTAGACTCATGTGAATTATTTATTCTTTTCTTGTTTGCAAAATTGGGTAGGGAGGTTTTTTTGTTGTTCGAAAGGGCTGCTTTTTTTTTTTTTTTTTTTTTTTTTTTTGTGTTTTGTGGTTTTTTTTTGTTTTT